AAATAGCCATAGCATCTTTGTAGTCGATAAAATTAGCTTACTTTTGTGCAATAACGTAATCTTTTCTTTGCCTTTATCCATTTGATCACCCATATCGATAGAAAGTATTCCGAAATTAGGAAAAATGGGTCTTGTTTCGCACCGGGTGAGAATAGCCTACAGTGGCAAGTCTCACCCGCGGTGAGAGGTCGATCGTATTTACAAGTATTCTCACCCCGGGTGAGAATAGCCACTTCCTAAAAAAATACCATACGGAATATGACCGACGGTCCCGGAAAATAACAACTTGGCAAGCATATACTTTTGAAACAGAAAAATTAGCCTTCTCTGTTGCTCGGGAAAATGACGAAAATTCGGGAGATTCCCGAAAAATTCGGGAGAGTTGGCAGGTGTGAAGTTTCGACAAAGTCAGCTGATACGCATTCGCGGCCCTCGGCTTCTTTTGTTTGAAAAGATGGTGTCAAAACGTTTGACGATGAGTTCTAAGTCCGACTCTGGACCAAGTAAAGCAAAGAAACTGAAAAGGCAGCCAGTTTTTCTTGACAAAAATACAAGGTGTCCCTGATAATTATAGACCTGCATGTTTGCCGACAATCGTCTGAAATCCGAGAATCACGACCCGACCCGCGAGCCGGCCGATGCTATGGCAAGGCCCACCTGTATTATAGTCAATGTGCGTAGTGCGAGGCCTGGCCGACTGCCAGCGCCCCCTTTTTCTCCCGTCGGCTTTGTCGGCACTTTCGTTTTCGCGCCGACTGCCGACGTCGGGGTTTCTGACATAATTGTCGGAACCCGAGTAGAAATGCGAATACGGAAAAGGACGATGACCTAAATTATCTACTTTCAGTTTATGCTCGACCGGCCACTTTGAATTTCATTTGTTGACTAATTCAATTGTTCAGATCATGTGGATTCATTCAAGTCCGACTCACTTGTTCTACTAGATCTAGATCTAGATTTATAGATCATTATAGACCTCAGTGGAGGATTCATTCCAATTCTATTGTGTCAAACCCTATCATAGGTTGTGCTGTAATATTAATGTTGGTAAAAAGCATAAATCAGGTGCGTGAATTATTTATTTTTTTAGAATCTAGATATCTAGATCTATATGGAGGATTCATATTCCAATTCTATTAAATGTTATTGTATCAAACCCTATTAGAGCAATGTAAATGTAGGCCATATTATGCTCCTGACCTTGTTTGTTTTGGAGTGTGTTTTTTTTTTAGGTTAAATATTTTTTCATTTTGGACTTGTGCTGGCCTTTTTACATGAGGCCCGTTGCAGATTCTTTTTTGAGGTAGGGTTAGGTCTCTTCTTTATTGTGTTTGTTGGGGAGGTCGCTCGTTACCCAGAAGTCCTTCCTTATGACACCCACCAAAGCTTTTAGAGGGGGGGGGGGGGGGGGGGTTGCGCAAAATTTTCAGACAATCTGGTTGAGGCTCCCATGCAGGTCTATAATTAGTCAATGTGACCGAAAAATTTTCTTCTCTAAAATTGTCTCCTTTCACCTCCTTTCACCTCCTTTCCTGCTCTCTAGCAATATTCTGTTGTCTACTTTCATTTCCACTTTCTGCCCCCAACCCCTCACCTCCTTTGCCCCCTCCTCTGGGCTCCTGACTCTTTCTGCAGCCTTTCTACTGCTACTCCTTGGCTCCTCCTTACTGCTGTCTCTCTGCCAAACCCATGATCTTCTGGTAGGAAAGATCTACACCTAGCCTTCTTGGACAAGGGCAAAAAATCTCGGGGGGCCCGTTGCACACGTTAAAGATCCCTTGGTGGTCTAAAATCGATAAGAATAAGTTTTGGCCGCCACCCGGGCAAAATTAAAAAATTTCCTACCAATTGAAAATATTAGGTGTGTCCCGCGCGCTCATATGACCTTATACAGTTGCGAGCGCCGTAAAACACTTTACAAAAACAAAAAAGACTAGTCAGTTTTGTAGAGGGGGAGTCTTGTGGAATATCTCCCAGTCGAATGTTTTGTCCATTTTAAAGCTTTTTTGTGGTCTGATATAAAGGAATTTTTAGATACAGATTTTTAGACATGATGCTTTAAAAGTAGTGGAAAACATCACTGTCTTGTACACTGTCTCGAAGGCTGTGAAAATTTTGCTCTTTTTATGTTAACATATTTGCTGTACAATTACAATTTTCAGTACTTAACTCAATAAACTGTCTTACTGATTCACTTTTAGTGTTTTCAAGTCTTCTGTGTTATTTTATTTTCAGAGGTAGACTGGCGTGATGTTCGACACAGGTGGAATATTTGTTTCACTAACTACCAATAGACAACTAAAATTTGTATAGAATGGTCAGAACAATGGTTTCTGGCTGCTGCGGACAGGTAAGTTCTTTGATATTATTTTTTAAACTACAAATTGAAATGAGAAAAAGATTTTACAGTTTCTAGTTACAGTAATAGTTTTAAACTAGAAATCTTTTAGAAGTGTTAGGTAGTTGGTTTTCTCACCTCGCAATGTTTTCTCACCTTGCAACAACGCAAGAGGGGCATCTGTAAACAACAAACTGTGTAATATGTATTTTGCTAGCTGCATGATTTAGCATTTGCTGACATAAACATCAGGTATTTTTTAAAATATTGAACATGAAATTACTAGATTAGATTTTTGTGTGTGTCAAATGTTGGAAAGGTGGGTGGTTGGCGGGTGTTCTGGTGTGGGTTGCTCTTTTTTTCCTATCAAACAGCTATTGTATTTATCTCTCCTCCTTCTTTTTTATGTTTGTTGCTCTCGTCTCTTGTAACACCTCTAATCTTCGGCACTTTTATGACTTTATTGTGGTGCAAGTGCCAAAAAACATTTACTAATACAAAATGTTTGTAAATTTTTTTATATTATGGCTTTGCATACATTTTCCATGACTTTTGTGTAAGCAGAAAGGAAATATTTCACTGCAGGTGTGGCAACATTTTGACATGGACCAGTAGACTTGAACAAGTGGTGAGCTGCAAGGGAGGATCATGAAGCCACCTTTGACTGTAGAGGCAAAGGTGGCCGAGGAACTTCGAACATGGCTAGCCTCCGAGCTGGAACAGCTAGATGCTTCAAATACCAAGTAAAAACATTTTTTATACTCATGGGTTTTTGTTTCACGTTAGTTTTTGTAATGTGTAGAAAGTATATTGTAAATAAGTTTTGGATATTTGAATCAATGTCAAATAGAATTCTTGACATTTGTCTCAATTTTGAACATGAGAAAAAATTATTAAAGAGTTTTGTACTATTTTTCTGTTTGCTGCTGTAACTTTAAACTCGGTGCTGTAAGCTCCAGAGTTGTGAAGAAAGCTGAATATTTAGCCTAAGTGTCTTCTTTTGTATTTTGAAGAGCCTTGAAGGTAGTGTAGGGCAAGATCTGCCATGGATTTTTGTTTCAGAGGTACTGATTTTCCAGATATATCCAGAAATTGGGAATTCTGAAATTTTTGCATATACACTTTATTTAAAAATTGTCTTCATTCAAGATGTAGTAAACAATATGAATGGTAAATTTTGAATCTCTTCTTTCATATGTCCACAAGCTGGAAAAAATTTAAGATTTCTGTCATTGCAAGGTGGTTTTGTTTAAGTAAGATAAACCAGTATTGATTTAACAAGTGGAAGAGGTTTTGGGAGGAAGAGGACATTTGTATATGTCTGGCGTCTAATGTGTTTTCATTGAACCTGTTTGCCTTTCCTGGGCAACAACGTCATTGTACACCGGAGAGGTCCATAAGTGCTCAGTTCCTCTCAGCACCAAAGCCCGCAAGGTATCCGTACTAATTGTTCTAGTGGCTGTTTGATTACGTTTTTCCTTTCCAGATAATCGTTCTTACAAGTGTTCCCCCTTCCCCTGTATGTATTATGGTGACGTTTCATGTTTTGATTTTTTTCCTTTTTCGAAAAACATTAGTCAATTTGCTCATCACGTGGTCACGATCCTCCTTCATGAGGATCTGGACATTGAAGATGAGCCACTCTCCACTGGTGATGACTTTCTGAAGGACATCTACAACATAAAGCAAGGCAAGACTAGAGAGAAGCAGAAGAAGGCTGCTGTTCAATTCCTGAGAGGTGCTGTTTGCTGTGTAAGTACTCTTGCTGACTTTTTTCTGCGAGACAGCTTCCACCTGGTTCACCATTGCTTCACCACCCTGCTTCTTCCCCAAATGAACTGAAATCTTAGTACCTTCATCATGCACATGAAAATTTTGTTAATTGGTTTTCAGCCGTCAAAAGTTATTGCATTGGTGGTAAATGTGCAAGTGACAGGTGTAATGACTGATTGTTGTTGTTATCGATCCAGATGTAATGACTGATTACACTTCATTAACTTTGGGAAAATAAATTTGTTAATTTGATAGTATGATGAACAGTAGGATGAATCCAGAAAGGTATCGGTGTGATACGTATGACGACCTCTCATGTTTTAGCTCAGTGGAAAGAAACATATTTATATTCCATTGAATTAACTTTGCAGTAAGTTGTAAAATGTTAAGTTCTTAACTCTTTCCGGACGTAGTTTCTTTGGGGTCTAGACATAATTAACTTGTGGCTCGATTTGGCTATGCAGGTGGTGTACAAAATAACTTCATAGAAACATAACCATCCCTCAAAACGTAACATGTGATATATCAAATTGAAGGAAATTGAATGAGGAATACCACCCAATATGAAACAAGAATTAATTTTGAACATAATTATGCATTAGAAGCTATGGTGATGAGAAAAATACATTTTGACGGAAAAAATTACATTCACCAAACCTGTGAAAGCAAATCAGCATATCTATCTTATCATATACAGGCGAAAAGCATAATTCATAACTTTCTGAATGCGCAGCTTTTTATGTGAAAGCAATATTCCAATTTTTGTTTGAGTTATGAAATATATGCTGAGTCCGGTTACATCGTTTTGTTGATGCAAGACCGCAAGAACTAATTCACTCGTTTTTCTCCAAACCCACGCTTTGACAAAGTGAAACTTGATGTTTTCGTTTCCTAAATCCTTTGAGAGTTTTTCAATAGCAATATAAAGTAATTATAAATGACGGATCGTGTTAAAACGAAACAATACCAAGGCACCCTGGCACGACGATATGTCCGCAAGGGGTGTGGACTCGCGCCGATATATTGGCGATACGTCCAGAAAGAGTTAAGAAACCGAAGTTCTGAAGAAAAAGAAAGAACAAAAAGAGACCATAAACTAATGTCAAGTGTGAATTTTTTAACAAAACTTGTACCACATTTTCTGTCATTGCATCATATTTATTATTTTATATGTTTATTCTGGGTCTACTCTCTCTAGGATGATCCTATGGAAGCAGAGATTCGGGAGGTGGTGGATGAACTGATGGTTAAAATTGAAGAGACTAAGCTGAAGATGAACACAAAGAAGGCTTTGAAAAGAAGTAAGTGCTTTTTTTTTTGTGTTTTCAAACTTGGTTCTGAGAAAAGTTTTGAATTTTAGTGTTACTATTGTTATAGATGTAGCAGCTCATGGGTGTTGGTTCTTCAACCTAGTGCTATGTATTTACAGCAGACCTGTCACTCATTCATCCCGATTTAATCTGGATATCTAGATTTTTTTGCCCCAAATCTCAAACATCTCGATTTTGCCGTGTGTATCCTGATTTTTGTTTTGATAGGTCAGTTGTGTCAGATTCTTAAACAAAAAAACCCCCCCAAAAACCTTTCTGTGCCTTTTCTTTTGCTGGGAAGCACCAACTCGACTTTTTATGAACAGGAACTTGGAACACAATTTTTAAAAAAAATCAATGCTGGATCTTGTATAACAATGCCAGTGAAAAATTGATTTTTCGCTTTAGCTCTTTTTTATTTGGTACCTAAGAAAGGATTTTCAATTCTAAGAATTGTGCTTTTTGAATTAAAAGAATCCGTTCATAAATAAAAAAGTTGTGAGGTTGTAAAAGTCGGCAATATATGGATGACCCCCATCGAGAAAAATACTCCTAAAAAGTGGACCATGTAACAGCAGATTCTGACGGAAAATCAACGAGATCTCAGTAATTTATTGGAGTTTTAGAAAGAAACTTGGCTTCTCAATGTGTTTATGGGTGGAGACATCATTTCTGCAGTCAGATTTACTAATCATTTCGTAGTTATTTTGTTAGTGTTGGGGTGAGAGCGTTTTATTTATAGCATCGTATCACAACATGGGATTTTTAAGAATATGTTTGCAGCGTGACTAAATAATAATAATGGCAAAGCTTTCTTTGATGACTTAAGACCATGCCAACCTTAAAATATAATTCAATTCAATCTGACATGCCGCACAATTAAAAAACTTTTTTTCACTTGAGACGCGAACACCTCAAGGCGGAATAAGTTCACCTTGGAATACCCCCATTGCGATGTTACAGGGGAATAGAGAGAAAAACAACTGGATGGGTGAAACTTTCGAAAGCACATTTGCATCATGTGACATGACCTTGTGAGAGTAGCGCGCGTGTCAGGGGCTGTCGGTTGTTGGGGTTAACAGAGTTCATTCACACTGGTCACATTTGTCTTGTCAGTGTGGGATGACTGGGAAAGGGGGGAGGGGGATATTTTTAGACCCTTGGGCATGAAGAGCGTGATGTGATACATGTATTTAGGATAAAGGAACAAGAAAAAAAAAAGACCCGCCTTGGAACAAAATTTTAGATTTGATTGGAGCTGAAGTCTGTCGAGAATGGCGCGATGGGGGATGCTCTAAGTGTACACATGATCTCAGTCAAACCTTGTTATTAATATTGCACAAGTGATTAAAGTTATGTGTAAGCTGTTTTCAAGACTATGAGAGTTTTTACATCACTGTAACCTGTGTTTCCCCAGTTTTTCCAACTACGACTCAAGTACATGCTCTCTTTCAGGTTTTTACCCTATTTGTAGGCTTAAATATGAACTTACTCCTTCAAACTTTTGTTTTGCATGTTTTTTTGTGTCTATGAATGCTTATCTCAAACATGATTTAGACAGTTGGATATTATTTGTCTGGCCTGTTCACCAGTATTTTTTCTTTTTTTCTTATATATACCTATAAGGTGAAGGAAGAATGGAAATGAATTAGTGCAGACTGAAATGCCTCACAAAAGGGAACCGGGGGCACCCCCCCTCCCTTATTTTTTTTTCACCTGATCCTGATTTTTTTCCTCTGAGATCCTAATTTTTAAATTTCATAGAGTGGCAGGTCTGTTTAAAAGTGCAGTTGCACAAATTAACGATCCGTTGATTTTTACGAAAAAGAAAGAGTGAAAGAGTACGCTGTTAGGACTGCTGTCTGGGCAAATTCTTCCCTAAAACTAAAGCCACTTTAATCAGAAACAGTAGGTGTTGCCTGTTGGAGAAGGGATGATTCTATGTTCTATGTAGACAAAATGTTCCAAAATCAGCTGCCGTAGGAGATGAACATCTTACACTCAGTAACTTCCCTCAGCTATAGCAGAATTACGAGTAGAGTTTTTTTGTTGTTGTTGTTATTATTTTGAGTAATGAAAATTTTATCTGATTCTGTTAAGCAATTGAACTAACAAATTGTAAATGTGTTCCATAAATAACATGGTATATTTTTTTTTTTTACTCTCAAGGTCTCTTAGTACCCATCGCCATTAATATTGAAGAACCTGGGAAGCAAGCTTGCATGAAGAGCGACAGCAGCGAGGAAAGGTGAGATTACTCCGTTCTGATTTTTGATGCCTTCGTTTGTTTTCTAGCAGTTTTTATGTATAACTGGTACTGAAATATGTGTCTGGACAAAGAAGAGTCAAAATTAATTAAAAAGTTGTTTCTTTTATGCTTCTTTAATTAAGGTTAACTCACTGTACCCAAAAGTTTATTCCACTGACTTGCCCATGGTGCCAGAATTAGTTTCTTAACTCTTTATCTCTGGCCACGGCTAGCGATTGGAGCCGCTCTGCCTATGAGCCGCTGACAGCAGCTCAGGCACATGCCTTTACTATGACTTCGACATCAAATTACTTTTCTGCAATTGCCGAAAACACAGTACCACACAAGTTGGTATCCCAGCACAGATTTTGTTGACGGGAGGAGCTACCCTTGAGGATCATTTTCTATGTTTGTTGCCCAAGATCAAATCTAAGTACGCACAAAAGTTAGGCATAGTAAAGTCTCTTGGTACGCAATTTTACTTTGGCATAGCTACATCAGTTGCTATGGAACGGCTGCCATCTTGAAAATAAACAATGAATTTCAAATCCCGAAGGCTTTCTTATTTACTGACCAAATTTGAGGAGAGTATACCTGAACCAGACCCTATCAGAGTAACAGCAAGTTTTTTTCAATAAGTGCAAAAGAAGAAAAAAAATAGAATTTTCCCCAAGTTTTCTAAATTCAAGTTGTGTAATCGCTTGCCATTGGAAAAGTGTTATTATTTTCACAAATATCTGTCTGTTACATTGATGGCACCCTTGCCTTCTATGTTTCCTGAAAATTTCATGTCATAAGGACGGAAACTAAGGAAGGAATAGGGAAAAAACTGCAAAAAAAATTACATTTTGAGAAAAATTACAATTATTGTGAAAATTCACTATACTAACCCATCCTCATGTTTTCAAAGGCAATTTACGAGAAGAATGAAGACTTTCTCTATTGTATCCATGCTAATTTTAGACAAAAAAACTGGCTTATCTTAAAAAATCAGCCAACATAAAATTTGCATAGCCTGACCCATAATCTGCAAAATCAAGGGTCGCTCCTCCCCTTAAGTTATTTGGGGAAATTGAAATACAGCGGAATCTGTGTACGACTCGTGTATGAGTTGTGGGCAGAGCTTGTTGGTTATGATGGATCACATGCTTCTCTCACCGGCAGCTGAAAATTTATTGTCACCAATTGGTCAACTTGGGTAAACATTGGAAGCGATCTAAGCAACATTCATTGGAGGGACTAATTATGAAACAGTGGCTGCAGTTGAGGAGAAAAGTTGTCATTCAAGTAGCCGTCATGCACAGGACTGATCTAAATGAAGAAAACAAACCATTTACCTCTGGGGTCCCAAATGGAGATGGTTGCTGGCTTACGACTGCAGGAAGTCTAGTTATTTTTTTGTCCTCCTTTCGAAATGGGCAGGGGCTAGAAAGGTTTTGGGGGATTTTTCGTTGTTAGTTTTATTATTTAAAAGAAATATTGGTTTCGTACAAGGTTAAAACAAAAAGAAATGTGTCAGACGAGAAAGGCCGAGTTCCATAGTAAAACAAATAGGTCGCCACCACGTGGCGAACGAGCGACACTGCTTTATATTGGTGTTGACGTGTCCATTGTTATGGACTGGGTAAACAGTGACCGCTCATCTCACTTCAGACTCGTGTATGAGTTGTGGGCGGGGCTTGTAGGTTATGACGGATCACATGCTTCTCTCACCAGCAGCTGAAAATTTATTGTCACCCATTAATTGGTCAACTTGGAGAAACATTGGAAGCGATGTAAGCAACATTCATTGGAAGGACTATTAATAACGACAGGGGATTGATTATTACAGCTTGTCCACAGCATTAGGGGCCAATTCATAATTTATGACAAAGTGCTGGGCAATTGGAGATTTGCGTGGCCATCTGAGACAGGTGATTGTGGCTGCTGTTGGTTGATAAAAATATATGGTAGCTGCGGGAAAATTTATTTAAAAAAAAAAAAAGGGGGGGAAATGGAAAATTGCCGTAATATACAGGTGGCCATCTCATAATAGGTTCGACTAACATAAAATGCTACAGTCAACCCCAGCCCAGTCTAATATAAATATAGATCCACAGACAGCTCGTGTCGCTGCTCCTGATCCTAACCCTGTACTAGTTCTTGTACTAGGCAGTTGTACCAGCTTTGTTGACTTTGTCTTCACTAGATCTAGATATTGGGGGCAGGTTAGAACTAATGGATGATACATCTACTACTAGTGCCACCCTTGCTGGAATCCCTCACCCTCTCAAAGTTCGGTTAATTTCCTCACTGTGTCAGTATCGTCACTGTTTTTTTACCAAGTGGAAATTTCTGTTGAAATGGGGTTCTCATGGTCTAGAGGTACGGTGTTCGTCTCTGATTGAAAAGGTCCCAGGTTCTTCTAAAAATTATTTTCCTTTCACCCCCTTTCCTGTTCTCTAATAGTCCTGTGCTTTCATGCCCCCCCCCCCCCCCCCCCCAGTTTGGAGCAGAATTGTTTATTCCCTTTTTTTCTTCTTTTTTAAACTTCCTTGCAGGTACAATGAAGCCTTCCCGTCCTTGTCAGGAGAAGATTCACCCTGCAAAGATGGACTTGGTAGTGTAAATGGCAACACGTCAGTTTGGAATTGTGTACCGTCTGGGAAGGAGAATGTCAAAGTGAAGATCAAAAGAAGCGCAAGTCAACCGAAAGGGCAGCGGACATCACTCTGGTTCAGCAGTCGAGATGAAGCTCATGCATGTTCAGTGGCCTTAAGGGTTGCTTCCACAGTCATTGCAGATTCCTCCCCAGCCCTTCCAGAAGCAGCAGAAGTACTGCCTGTGTCGTCCACATCAGCTTCTGTCTTTGAGTCTCCTCGCTGCTGGAAGTCTGCTTTCACCCCGATCTCATTGACCAAGATTTTTCATCCCATTGCTACTTCTTTGGTGCCACGTATGACGAAGCAGGGTTGTTCTGTCAAAGCCAAGTTATTCTCCCCTGTCATCCTTGATGAAATTTGTAATGATGGCAAAATCCCCAAGGATACCGCATGCAGTTGTCAGCAATCAAAAAGTAAAGTAGGGAATCCATTTATTCCAATCCTGGACCTTGAAACACGATGGGAATTAGAGAGCTCTTATGCAATTACTGACAGTGACATTGAGGTTGATATGATATTACATTATGCCCGGCAAAGGGAAAAGCAGAGCAAAAAGAAGGCAGCAAAAAAAGTGAACGAGGACTCTCTTAATGTTCATACAGAGTATTCCAAGAGGGTAAAGACCTTCCCTGATCACTACGGTAACTTCTGGCAAAAAATGCACGACTGTGGACTAATTGTTTTGTATCCTGTCTTAGAGAAAGGAGAAAGCAGGGAAGACAAAGCCATAGGCAGAGGTAGCCCAGACAGTGAGAGTGATGATGCTGTGCCAAGCTGGAGCATTAGTAGCAGCAACACTGAGGATACTTTTGATCTGGTCGTTCCTTTTTATCCAGAAGGCCACCTTGATGAAGACGATCCAACGCTCTCGGACTGTAGCCCTCCTTATGACCAGCAGGATGAGCTGGATTGTATCCCCAGTCTCCCTCTGTTCACTCACGAGGACAAGATTGTCTCTCCGATCAAGACTTTTGATGATGACCTCTATTTCCCTTCTGGTGCAGCTCAATGTGGTCAGACTTTAGGTTGCAGTAACTGTGTAGACTCTGAATTTGACCTTATAGGGTTGCATCGACTCTATAATCAATGTTCAGATACAGAGATAAGTATATATTCAGAGTCTGAATCGAACAGTAAAAGAATAGACAATCAGTTTTGGTGCTCAAACAGTGGTCAAGAGGACTTCCTTCAGCCTTGGGAGTGTCTCTGGTCTGCAAATGCTTGGGACAATATTCAGCAGGACCTTGTTATGGACATGAAGTTTCAGAGCATATCTCGAAAGATGGCACACTTTGACAACCTCTTAAGGCCCTCTCTGCTTTCTTCATGTCTGAGCTCAGAGGTTGACCAGTTACTTCAGGTAATTGGTTGATGACAAGGTTCTCTACATTGTTTTATCAGTTCTTTATTGTTGAAGAGATGACATAAATATATATATGTATATATACTGTTTAATTTTGTTGAACAATTGTGATTGATAGTTTTAGTGTACAGTTAGAAGTAAATTCATTTGAAGTTTTCTTTTTACATCTTCAGGAACTGGCACTGTTAGAAGGGATAAAAAATAGTTGGGATGTTAAAGATTCTTGTCTCTACTGTTTCTGTTTAGGATGTAGTGACATTGAGAGGGGGGGGGGGGATAATTACTGCGGTTGATATAAAAATTATTGGTGAATTCCAGGTTAAAAATCATAGATACAAGATGCATAAAGGTGAAATCTCTAATTGTAAAAAAAAGTTCACAGCACCTAGGCTTGGATGGCTGGTGTCTCTATAAATAAATTATTGATGATCTGGTCTGGTCAGTGGCACTGAGAGTCAGCTTATCTGTGGAGGATTTTTTTTTTAATTGTGTGAAAACGCATCACTCTTTTCATGTGTGTCTTGTGTGTCCTTGGGAGCCCGTTGCTTTCTTTCCATTAAGCAGATTTAAATAGGAAGAAAAGAGAATGAACTTTATATGTTTTTATAAGGTCCATATTTTTTGTGTGTGTTAAATGCCTCTCGTAAGTGTAGCTTTATTTGCGTAGCTGCATTAAATAGCTTTGATCAGAACTTGTTATGCTCGAAGTTTGGTGATTGAAGGGTTTCCTCAACTCCTTAATGCTGTCATCGTGTTGGGGCCTTCAGCCTGCAGAAAGCGGAATGACTTTGAAGTACATAATTTTGACAGCAGATTGGGTTTACTAAGAATGTGTGCAGACTCCCCAGAATTCAGCACCCTTGAATTTTTTGCAAATTAATGTAATGACCTTAAATCTGCTGAATTTCAAGAAAGTGCTGAACTGGTGGTTTTTTTCTCTTACAGAGGGCCTTTGTCAACTCATTATTCTCTGGTGATATTTTTGGGACGACACACTTACAGGTGAGAAATGTGAATAAAGTGCCTTTTTGGGGATTGTATCCCTGTTGGCTCAGTGCTCCATGTATTGGTATGATGAGTCATGTTTCCTCCCTTTTTCTCAGTAAAATACAGTTACTGGGTACCCTACCCTTTGGGAGTTACTTCTACTAACGAGTGTAACAGCTCTCCTGGGATAAATGGGTTATAAGAAGGCTCACCTCTTGTTTCTTTACAAGTAGAACTTGATTTTTAAAAAGTCATTATACATGAAAACACAAAAAAATGGATATGTGTACAGCACCCAAGGAGTTTAGAACTAATGGAGCCTCCTCTCTCTCTTCGCGGCGCCACGAGCAGTACGCCGCGGTGGGGATCAAATATGGCCGCCGAGTGTGGGCTAAATCTCGAACTGTGGCGGTTCTTTTAATAGAATCTTATCGGGCTGGGCCACGTTGTGGGGGTGGGAGGGGTGGGGGAATGCACGCAAGGAAGAGGGGATGGAGCAGGGATGAAAGAGGAGGGGCGGGCCTTGGGAAGGGACGAAGGAGAATGGGAAAAATTAAATAAAAGAGAAAGAGAGAGAGAGAGAAAGAGAGAGACGGACGGACGGACAGACAGACAGACAGACAGACAGAGAAGAGAGAGAAAGAGAGAGATATTGTGATCAACTGACGGGCTGACGGATAATGACAGGGAGAAAAAAAAAAAGATTCTGTATGTGATACGGACTATTCAATTCTTTAAAAGTTTTATGTTATAATCTAGTTTAAAAATCAGAAAGATGTGTAAAATAAGAAGAAAACTTGTCCAAGTAACATAAAATTATCAAACATACCAAATTATAAAGATAACCTTTCAAGATGCCAAAATATTTAATAATAGAAATGGATAAAAATATACTTTAACTCACTTCAGACGGGTCACACAACAGTTGCGTGACCCCCGCCATGACGCTCGCGACGGGTCTCACAAGCCCTGCGTGACCAACTTTGGAATTTTTTTTTCGCTCTACAAATCACGCACGGATCGCGAGACCCGCCTCGTACCCTTGTTTGGCCAAGCCTGAGCTACTTAGACTTCGTTTCGTATCTCTGGGGCCGGTAGTTTTTAAGTTATTGAAGGTGAAGGACAGTGACCCCAACTGGGGTTGAACAGACCGGAACTCGCGCTTTGTTTTTTTCTATACAGCTCATAGTAATCCGACAGTCGCGTCGTAGTGACGGTCGAAGAAGTCGCATGAACAAGAATCACATAATTTCGCAGTTTTCTATACTTCTGTGCGTTTTACTAGTTCTAGTGTCTCAGAATATGATGTGTCTAATAGTTAGGATCCTGGATATGTACCCGAACACGGCCGGAGTCGTAGTTCTAGGGCTAGATCTAGCACTAGTACCGGTGTTGTTTTTCGCGCAACGAAATCACAACGTCGTGCCGTACATCTGTCTCATGTAATTCAGTGTATGGGTCTGAATCAATTCACAGACCAGCTTTTATATTTCCACCAAACACTTGCACATGTATACAAATCAAACCAGAACACTTTGAACTTTTATTTTTGTTGTTGCAGTGAATTTCATTCTACTTGTCACGTCTCTGGAAATTTTTCGAAAATCAAATTCATGCCAATTTTTAAAAAATCATACAAATTAAAGTATTAGACTTAGACAACTTTAGTTTTTTGTATTAGATTAAGCTTGAATGTTACTTTACTGTGTCAAAAAATGATTACAATAGGGTAATTCTGAGAGTTGTGGTGATTTATTGAAATACCCCCCAAAACGCCAGTCTTCAACGCTTGTGACTGGTGAAAGGGCCCAGTTGCAAGTGAGTTAAAACTGAATTTAAGATATTATGATTGCATGATTCTAGGCGTGTGCCATGACTAACTTTATGTGTAAGGAATAGCGAACACAACAGAGGGTCGATGCCAGCTTTATCTGATTGCTAACAGTATGTCTTGGTCTATAAATAATAATATTATTGATTACAATAATTTTGTTTCCTGGTTTTCACAAAGTAGAGCGCACAATGATTTCAAAAAAAAAAAAAAAAAGAGATAACAGCACCTTTTGAGGTGTGATCGCATGCATGAGCGTGGATGACCTTTGAAGGTTTTCTTTTTTGTTTTGTTCAGTAAAGTATGATATGAAGAGTAGCGTTTTTAGTCCCTTACTACACTCTGGAGGGGGGGGGGGAGGGAGGGGATAATTTATCTCAGTGATGACTCTTGTGTATTAAAATTTGATGTTGCTTTGTTTGGTTTATTTTTTAACAGCAGAATCTTAAGTGAACCGGAATTATTGATTGTGGGATCTTAGGTGAAGACTACAACAATGAAATTAAACCGAGTATAGTTCTATCTAACAAGACTCAAACTCTTATCCACCCCACCCAACCCTCTCCCCTCGTCTGATATGGTTTGGTGTTTCTTTAACATAGAAAATATTCACCATTATTGTTGTTGAGTATTGATTTCATATTCTAATGGAGCCTCCAGATATCTACATTTAGACAACAGTAGCATCTAATTTGCACACACAATGGAAAACAATATAAATGTATAATATGTATATACATACACACACATAATTATATATATATATATATATATATATATATATAAAAGAATAAGAATACTTTTAAAAAATTGAGTATCTCGGTCTTTCTGCTGGGGTGTTGTATCCCTTTCAGCCTGGGTTGGCCTTGGCAGGTAGCGCCGGAGCCATCCTCTTATGAATGTTAATGATCTAAATTGTGTTGCTGGGGGCATAAAAACACTTTCATTCAAATTTTTTAAAAGGAAAACAACTTAACTGTGAAAACTTCGGTCCACTGCAGCATCATATCGGTTCTTACACTTAAATACAACACATATGCAAGGCATTTTTACTAATTGACTTGCCTAATCTCAAGGACCTCGGAATAAAACCTTCTTTCTTATCTAGATTTCAGTACGTGAGTCGGGGATTCGCGCAGCGCAGGTAGACCGCAGTTCCGCCGCGAGAGAGGGCTCCTATCAGGCGTGCGGTGCCGCCGACAGAGCATCCTCCATTACTTTTAATCTCCTTGACAGCACCATATCAAACTGCAAAATGTTGACTGATTAGATAATTGCCAATATGAATTGAAATACTAATGAAAGATATCAACAGGTTTACAATAATTGTGAGGCAGCGTGGTGGAATCAGGCTCTCGTCAAAATAATCAAAGTGAAGAAACTTGCATTTTTCCGCAGGTTTGTGAATTTGTATCGAATTTTTATTGTTTGGCTCTACACTTTTCATGTCCATTAAAGAACTCATTTCAGTGTGAATTTTTCTGAAAAACGTTGATTAAAGGCACAAAAAATGTAAATTTTCAGTTACCACGGACTTTTAAGTTAAGGAAATAACTACTGTTTGGCGGCCATTTTCTCACTAATTTTACCTCTGAAAACAGGTGACTCTCACCTCCTTCTTTCGCAAATATCTCGACTTGTATTCAAGATAAATGGATATTTTTTAAATTTTAAAGTCCAAAAAAAGACAAGTGAACAAGCTTTATAATGAAACCAATAACTCTACATGCCCAAAAATTGACGAGTCTGATTCCACCTCGCCGCCTCACAATTGTTTCTTATTAAACCCCCCCCCAGTGGAGAATGCAAAACCTTTGTCCCCAAATACCAGGGAGCAGATGGGGGTATTCTCTGTAAAAAACACTGTGATCATTATGAAATTTTCTGGACACTGAAAAAATTTAATGTCACGAGCGCATGTTCATCAAAATAGGAATTAGAATAAGAGCTAAAAATGTTAACTCGTTCCATTAATCACCCAAATCCCCATTATGGCGATGCAGTAGTCTCCACCTAAAAGCACGCTCCTCTCAAACACACACTTTCGTCATCTGATCGGTTGTTTACCATAAAATTTAGATGTAGAAACGCATGGTCACTCCCTGTAAACGCACGCTCTGATCTGCAAAACACGCCGACAGGTAAAGCTTGACAAAATTGAAATTTTCTCTTCAACCTGCATAGCTTGCATAAGATGAGTCTAGAAAACCGGATATTTGGTGAGACTGCCCCTCTCGCCGAACAAAGAGAGTGGTGGACAGTGCTTTCACAATCATCTTTCCACTGACACTTAAGTCTAGGACTAGTCTGAAATATTGGGGGGGGTTCAGGACTGAAGTGTTTTTTGATTGTTCACTGGAAATGCATGTCTGAGAGAAGGTTTCTGACTGGTGTTTGGGTGACTGCATGTAATGTTAAGTTAGATCTAGGCCTGTGATGAGCAACACGCGTGAATGCCGTAAAACAAGATTTGCCTCTATAGGATTAAAGATTAGTCAAGTAAGCCTAATCAGCTGCGCTCGAAGAACTTATTAAGTACTTGTTCAACGAATCACCAAAAAAAATGTTTCTTTGAATGTAGATCTATGATTCTGATGTTGTCCATGAATTTACGGTTGGAGGTGGCTGCTTGGAAAGCCTCGTGGCTGGGCCGTTGTCTCTATGGCTATCACCAACAGTTTCCTCTTATGCTATCTGTTCCCATCTGTTCATATCATTACATCGAGTCTGTCTTTCTGCTCCCCCCCCCACCCATTCATCGCCTTTGTATTCGTAATCTCAGTCACATGCTGTCACATTATCGGCCAAAGTGACCTTCACCTTCAAGGGAAGTAACTAGAATATCAAGGAATTGAGATGATTGCATCCCTTCCTCCCTTTGCACAGGTTCATGTAAACACACTCTCCATATAAACACACGCTTACGAGCCCTCCCGAGCACCGTGCGTTTAGGCGGAGACTACTGTACTACGTTGCAACCTTCGTGCTAGGCCTACTCAACATTTTTCAAAATGTTTCACTCCCATCATTGCAAACAAACGGATTTCCACGCTCAACGGCCAGAAAATCATTCAGGAAGGAAGTTTTAACCTTAACAAGTGCGTATGTCTAAAAAGAGATCATTCCTACAACAATTTTTGTTTGCTATGTTGCATTGCCCTTAAGCTGCATTCTGTGGGGTATAAATGTTATACCAATATCCACATTTTTTGTCTTTTCTTAGGAAGCCGAACCCGTTTTTCAGTGCTCTGAAGTGGAACAGTATTTGTACTCAAGTCAACGCGGTTCGTTTTTTGGTAAGTTTCTGTGAGAGTTTCAATGACAATACCTCCATATGTCTCTCACATGTGATTTAATGCTCAGTAAAGAATGCACTTGAGGCATCTGCTGCCATATTCTATGTTTTATATTATTATTTTATTAGTATAGGTTTTACGGGGCTCGCAACTGCAGAAGGTCATATTATGAACGCCAAGGGTTGGATGTCAACCAGGGGTGAAAGTTTTCCAGCTCCTGCCTGGATTTCCGGCTACTTGAACTCATCCGTGGGCCTCCCTCCGGCTACATCGACCCGGCAAGTCTTCCATAGCCTGCGTCATAACATTCCTTTTTATTTCGTCGGCATGCAACAAATTTCCGGTTAAAAAAAATACAAACATATCTGCAGACGGCCGACACCAGTACTTTTGGTAGGGCTCTGTACTATTCATAACACCCCCCCCTCCCCCCGGAATAAATAGGTACCCAGTATTCAAACATTCGAATAGCCGGAAAAAAAAACGAGTCTGAAACTAGCTACCTAGTAAAAACAGGGTGACTAGCCAGATCTGGGGGCCGGGAATATGATAAAAATCGCCGAGATCCAGGAATTTGAGGAAATCTGTAATTGGCTTTTCCTGGTCCGACAGTATGCGAACAGGCGGCAATGGTGGCATGCGGAAGCGTGTGACTGACACCGTGGCTCGATCGGGAATATCAAGATCTACTTTCGCTTTCGTTACCACCCAGAACTTGGCCGGTGATAGTCTGATAACGCAACATTTGTGTCATGCAGGTCGTGCACTATAAACTCTGTGTCGCCATGAAAATAAATCAATATTTTGTCTCTGGGTCACTTGTGAAAAAAGGAAAGAAAAACGTCGTCCGATTGTCAGTTTGTCGGGCTCGTCATCGCGACCTGTCAGTGAACCTGCACGCCTTTGCGTCACATGATACAGCATCACGTGAGCATCGACGGTAGTTAGGGTCGCCAAAGTTCATTCAAGGTCTGAGTGTTTGGGAGCGTAGGACTCCGGGTGGGGGGGGAGGGAGAATTATTTTATTAATTTTTTTAAAAAGATACTCTCGGTGGGGATGGTCGGAAGGCAACACCAGAGGACAAAAAACTTGGAAGCAGATTTTATTTTAAAATTTTTTATTAGAGCTCTCTACAAAGCACGCTTTGGTGCCGGCCGGGTGTGGTATCGGGATCCGTCATACATTGTAAGCCGTGTTATTGAACTAAAGTGTCCGCGTTTCATTGGATGGGTCATAGTAAATTATAACTATATTTTAGCTTTCTGTTCAAGACTGGCAGATTTTCAGTGTCACTGCATCTTTGCCCCTCTCAGTTCTTACAACTCTCGCACTGAATAGGTCATCTTGAGCCTTTCAAGTTTTTACTCTACTTTGAGTTTGAGTGTTTATTTTTGTCCTCATTCTTGACAGTCGATTTTCTGGTTCGGCCCTTTCACAGACTCAGAGCAGGATTCGTTTTTTATATATTATAGTTTATATATTATACATATAAAATGATGAGGGGAAAATATAAATAAGAAAATATATAACAAGTAAGAACAGACTGAAATACGTAAGTCACACAAGACTCCACTGCCACACTGAAATTTTGTTGACAGGAATCATATGTGTGTGATATATTTAAATGGAGCATGTGCTGTCATTGTTAAGTAACATGCCCCTGGAAAATGGATGGAACTCCTAGAAAATTGAGAAGCCTTCCCCATCCTTCAGGCCGTGTGAAGAGAATTTACCTTGAACTTTTCAGGCTATCTGTTCTCTAACAACAGAATTTTCAGGCTAAACCGTCTCTTGTCACTTCCACCCATGATGTCAACAGAGTTCTTACAGGGAATCAGGCTTCCTCTGCTCACCTCTCTAGCTTCAACAGCACAAAGTCTGCTACGCTGTTTTTGTCAGTGCGCCTGGTGTATTTCTGATTTTCATTGCCTCAGTTTTGCTGGTGCTGGTCTACATGTGATCATTTTATGCCTCATTTTTTTCAAAATTTTCGGGGGGGGGGGGGGGGGGGGTTAATGAAGACATCCTGTCTGACTCTGAGCTGCCTGAAATCTCATCAAAAACTTCAGTCAGACACTGCTCAGCTTGATCGAGTCAGTTTGACGCCCACCGGTCCGGTGTGCCCAATGCCCTGCCCATGGCCATTGAGCATGCAACCCCACTCAAAATAAAAATATTGCTTTTCCTGTTTTGTCAAAACCCATTGTTTCGTGCAAATAGGCCTCGGCCTAGGCCTAGGTTGTGGGAGTTTAGTATTGTATGGATAACTAGTGGCAGTTATTCGTACTAACAATATTGTACAGATAACCAGATCAAGTTTTTCGCACAATAGTACGAATAACCGCTCCGCAACACACAGTATCGAAAAGTTCAAACACAGAAGGATTCTATACGTACTAGAACTTTCACTGTGATCCCAGATAGCCCTGACAACAGATCCTGAACTGGTGACTGGATCAGCAGAGAAAGTTGAAGTTGGACTACTGGAAGCAAAAACATCAGTGTCGGGGCTGGTGCTCTGCTCCATACACAAGCTCCTCACATTGGAGATTTGCAGCTGTAGTCCTCCAGCCTGACTCATGTGATCCTCAACAAACACGGGCTCAGCACACGTATCCTCCACATCTTCCACTTGTCCTTCTGTCTTTCCTACCTCTCCAAAGTCTGGACCTTCCCATTCTGACACTTCTTCTTTCACAAAATTCTCCACTTTTGGTTTCACTTCATCATGAAAGTCAGAAAAATGTCCAAATAGTGGTTCGGTTTCCACCATACAGATATCTGTGAGGCACTCTGGTTTAATGACAGGTTCCACGTCTTACCACTTTTCTGTACAGATAGGCTCAACTTTTACTACACTGTGTCTGAGAGTCAGGCTACTTTCACTTTCAACGTTCAGTTTGTCATTTGTCTTGGCCTTGACGTCACATGACCATTCAAAACTGGGCTCTTTTTTTATTGACAGTTGTTCCTCATCAACACCCATGCTAGATTCACTTTCCCTACCTAGATCTATGTCATGTTTTACAACTTCCCTTTTAAAACTGTTAGTACAAAGACAAAGAGTACCGGTACTAGATCTAGATCTTGTCCCAGAACTAGGTTCACCTTTAACAACTATGCTATCAATCCCAAGATTCACACCTTCTCCAGAAGAACAAGGAACAAATAAATCACAAGTTTTCAAGCATCCACAGCCCGCCTTATCATTTCCAGAGTTAAGTCTATACATTGTTTTTATTGTGTCTTCCTCACAGTTAGCGTCCATTTGTTTAAATGTAACTAGATCTAGATCTAGATTTTAGATCTAGATTTCTAGATCAAGAATCTAGATCTAGGTCTAGATCTAGATCTAGTCTAGAATCTAGATCTAGATCTAGGTTCTAGACTAGATCTAGAACTAGAATCTAGATTCTAGACTGTCTAACTCTAGATCTAGATCTAGATCTAAATCTAGATCTAGATAAATCCAGTGTAGGAAATGTCAGCCATCTATAATCTAGATCTAGATCGAAAACTATTCTACTACTACACTTACACAGTCACACTGTTCACTGTCAATGATGACACTAACCTAACATATACACACAATTGCTTCGATAAACGAATAAACATTGCCATGAAGAGGAAAAGTCAAACTGACTTCATTACCAAAGTTTGATTCTGCACAATACATTGAAGCATAGAGACAGAGATTCTATTATTAATTATTATTATTGCGTCCATTTTATTTTGGCCGTTTTATTTTTGTATGATCAAACGAGTATAAAGAACATTAAAACAGTTTCAGCAGTATAAGAATAGTATGTAGG